CGCATGGCAAAGCTTTGTGACGCATTGCCATGCGTTGTGATCTTTGTGTTGCAATAAATATACGCCTGTATCATTTTATCACAACACAAACACCAACACAGTGTGAAAACAATTTTTTAACATAAGTTCCTTTTTTACAGTTTTGCGTACCGTAATTTTTTTACCTTTTCGCAAAAGGCGCAATTTTAAATTTGCAAATATTTGTTATTTATTAACTCAATACAGTTTTATCTTTTAGATATAGTCAGAAAATTATTATTTTTTGTGCGCTGATAGTGATTTTAGTGTGTTTTATCAATTGAATTGTGTATTTTTATCGGTTTAATATTAATTTGAGAAACATTTGCACAATTATCGCACGGCCTACAAATTTAGTATCACCATCTTTTTATTCTACCAGGCCTGCGCTTTCAGAAAATATATGGTTTGGGGGGTCTTTTACAAACACTAACAACACAGCAGTGGAAAATCAAATCAATGGGAAAAAATTGCAGAAAATTCAAAAATGGCTTGGCCAGCTGATTTGAAAAATGTTCCGGAGGGCTTGGCAGCGAAAGGGTTAAGGTGAGTGCTGACATTAACATGGGGGGGAGGGGGAAAAAATGTATCCTTTAATGTAAAGTGGTACATTTTCTCCGTTTAAACATGATGTTTTCTATTTTCTACTGTGAATAAAATATGGGTTTATAAGATTTGCAAATCATTGCATTGTGTTTTTTATGTAGATTTTACACAGTGTACCAACTTTTTTAGAATTGAGGTTGTAGTACGACTTCACACTATTAGAGCGGACCTTTACCCCCTTTCACTAAAAATCACATCAGCATGCAGATTTAAGATCATCTTACATTCATTAGTTTTTAATTAACTTACAAACAGGAGTTAATCTACTTCCTGGTCCACTTCTGGCACAAATGATGTAATGTGCCAAAGCTTTGCATCCTGGGAAGGTTACATCAGCAGCGCATTGCCACATGTTATAGTCACATATGCCAGAGTTCCAGGAAGTAAAGGGAGAGCTAGTAACCTGTCCTTAGTTAACATGGCCACTGTCAGAAGACTGGGGAAGAAAAGAGAAATAAGGTATGCAAAGAATACAAAGCTGAAAATTATCTAGATGTGTTTGTAGCTTGTCATTACTAAACATTTCTAAAGGTGTCTTTGTTGTTATTTTAAAGATATTGGTAAAGTTCCTCTTTAAATGCAGCAAAAAGCCCCATTCCCCGGTTTTGGTAACAGGAACGCTGCCCTACTGAAGTAGAATAGAAAAACAGAAGTTGACAAAATACTGGAAGCTGAGCAGTGGATGCTTACAGTACAGGGCAAATATGATACATTTTATAAACACCTCAGTCATCTGGATTTATTACTCACCCATGATTACTGCCTCACATTAGGTTAGAATTCTATTCTTCGTTAGCCTCACCATTCATGTTAGGAACACCTCCGAAATGTACACATGCTTACTGATTACCTCCCTATTAGAAAGCAATCCCTCTACCCTGCTTTATTTCTTTGACCCTTATCTGTACCCCACACAGCCCTGTATCTGCACCACAACACAGTGCAAAATATGTGCATTTTTTTCTTCCCCCGTCCGCTCTCCGATCCTCCAGCGCTGAATGGAGGAACAGACGGGAGGGGGCGGGTGTAGCTGGCTCGGCCTCTAGATTGGCAGAGCCAGCTGTCACTCACGCAGCTGGGTGGACCTCGACAGTAATGTCGGGATTCGTCCCGGTTGCGGCGGTCTCAGTATACAGCGAGCTGTAGCCCGCTTTATACTGAGCTTTGGGTCACGGGAGGACGCTAGTATATGTCCTCCCGTGACCCTAAAGAGAACTATGGTGAAAAACACTTACCCCCATAGTTCTCTTTTAAAGTACTGTTACTAGGGAACAAAACTCCTGGTAACAGCTCCAGTGGCATAAGGGATTCTTTATGAATTAGATACAACTATGGCCATTCTAAGCTCCCCCATGCTACTACAGATTGTCAGCTGCGACGGGTTTATTTACAGTCCCAGTGAGTGGCAACCTTGGGGAGTGGTGTATATTTTATGAATGGGTGGGATTGTGGCTTGTTAGTTTGTCATTTATAATTAGATGGGAACCGGGTGCCTAAAAGGTTTTGGTCCCTGAAGCGACCATAAAGTTACAGCCACTGAAACTGCAGTGGACACCAGGGTTACAGAGCTGGACTACTGCAACAGTTCTGTTTCAACGTAACCCTCCATGGCAATAAAAGGGTTAAGACCATAAGCTTGAACAATGGTCTATCTAAGCCACCTAGAGATGGTGAAACGAGAAGCCGGGGTGCCCTTCCAAAAAGGGAATCTGTTCTTCTGAAGGAAGCTGGGGCTAAAACATATCTCCACTATCAGGGGGCGCACTACAAGCAGTCCCTCACCCGTTAGTGAAAAGCGTGCTGAGGGCACCCGGCACTGCAGGACCATTTTCGTTTTACCCCCCAACCCCACCACATGAAGCAGCAGGAAGAGATTGAAGAGTTCCATGTTGCTCTTCGAAGCAGTGGGGCGATGCTGCCTTGACACTCTTTAATGAGAAAGAGTGAAGAATGCACATACATACAACACTCCACCCAGCGGAATGATGTCAGTGTTAACCCCTTCCATTGCAAGGCCGTCAGGAAACAGCAGCGCCTAGTCACCAATAAAGATAAGAAATATCCTGGTGGCTGTCCCAAATGACCTAGTCACTAAGTGAATTTTCAGACAGTGCACGTGCAATTGCAATGCCAGGGGCTCCAGACCTCAAATAGGGCTCTGTATCTAACTGAACCAAAGGGAAGTCTGGAAAGCGCCCACACGGAGCCCGGTGCCGAGGGTCACCATGCTATCGCCACAACTGTGCGGTCGGTCGACTTTCTATTAATCGATGGGATCAAATCAACAATCGATTTCAAAACAGTGACAAAAAAAGTCGAAGGATGGAAACCTTTTCTCGAATGAACGAAATTCTAATAGTAAATGTGGTTTTCATACCAAAAACTTAATTCATTCCAAAATCGAATGATAGAATCAAACAAAATTTCGTTCGACATTCATCAAGTGTCTGATGACATCATAGGGTGGCAAAGAAAGATCTTTCTTACAAATGTTTGTTTGGAAATGTAGTAGTGTATGACCAGCTTAAGGCTGACCATGCTGGAAGGTTTAAAACTTCCTGTGTATGTCAATGGACAAGAAAGAATGATCTGCTTTATTTGCATAGCTTATGAACAAATTTTAAGACACAGTACCATTTCAGAATAGTTATTTATGGCTTCAGTTACAATAAGAAATTTGTCTTTATTAGGCATTTCATATAAAGAAGCTTTACCTCACTCAAAGGAGATATTCTTTCAATATTCAAAAAAACTGCAGTGGCCTGAGGAATTGCTTTAATCTTTTCTATAACAAAAGAAAACAGGGAGTTACAAGTTTGATTATAAACCCAGAAAACGGATTGAGTTGTTTTATTACACATTTCACTAATGACAGCAGCAGTTTGAGAAAAGACAAAAAAAAAACAAAAAAAAACAGTCAATAATTGTTCAGAATGATCACTTCTGACCAGTAAACATAAATAATTTGTCTGTGCATTTTGGTCTTTACCAAGAAATATTGCCAACTCACTCTATAGAATGATACTTTTATGAGGCTGCAGCTATACCTCCAAGCTGTAGAGTCTAGAACAGGATTAGGCAAGCTTGGTGCACCAGCTGTGATTAAACTACAGATCCCATCAATACCTCTGCGAGTCATGCATGTGGCTATTAGAGTCTCGCAATGCCTCATGGGGCTTGGCTGGAGTGCCAAAGTGCCTGACCTAAAAACACAAAATGCTGCTTATGAAAATGTCTTCTCTGCCAATGGAGGAAACATGACCCTATCCAAACTGCAGCTGAGAGAGACCACAGAAAGGATTTTACATCAGTCATCAACACTCCTCTCTGTCCCTTTCACAGAAGGAGCATGTTGGAAAATGTTTCTCGATTGAACGAAGTTCTAACACTAAATGTGGTCTTCGTTGAGAAAACTCCATTCATTCCAAAATCAAATGTTAAATAAAAACGAAACTTTGAACAACAATTGCCAAGCCTCTGATGTCATCATCAAATGTTCCAGTGTGATTTTTCGTAGGAACGTTCTTGTGAAATTCTACCCATGTATACCCGAATTAATGAAATGTGTAACAATACTTGGCCTGACAAAAAAACCAAGTGCCCGTAGGCAAATATTCCTCAACATTACTAGTAAGTTTCTTACCTTCAGTACCCAGTCTTTGTTTAGGATCATTTCTTCAGGAATGACATAACTTACTGGAGCCAAATACACTGCAAAAACCAAAAGTGCAAACAACAACTTCAATGTTACCTGTAAGAGTCTGAAAGTTCCCTTTGCCAAAAACGTATTTATGATCAGGTGATTTTGTAGACATGATTAGCTTATCCACAACTATCCAGTTAGGGATACTGTGTATTAGAGCGACTGCTTCAGCAACCAAAAGTTCAGCTGGAGAAAGAAAAAGAAGGACAAGGCCATTAGTAAGAACAGTTTGTACATAAACAGAAGTTCTACTCTAAAATGCAACAAATTATTTCTAATGTAATCATTTTCCATAAACACAAGCAGTGAAGCTAGCAATCCTACCAGCAGAAGGTAGAAATCCAGTTCCTAAACCTTGACCATGCGTCATATACATGGGCAGAATGCTAGTGCACATTTAGGCCCCTTTCACACAGACTGATCAGGAGAGGATCTGTGCACGGATCCTCTCTTGAGCAGAGCAGTACAGGTCGGATGTCACCGCTGTGCAATCTTGCAATGGAGGGAAAAACTGAAATGACTGGACCCATGTTGGTCTATGGGAAAAATCCAATGCAAATGGACTTGTGTCTGTTTACATCAGATGACCCCCTATCCAGCACGATCAAGTCTGTCAAAACAGAACACTGATCCGTTTGTTTTGCGGGCCAGGTCAGAGTTGGGGGTAACCAGGTCCAAACGGACGCCAGTCTAATCATCAACTAGCATTGGTTATTCCTTAAAAACTGACTCCTACTGTAAGGAGGCTGGGGGCTTGCAGGGTACAAGTGCAACATTAATAAACTGTCACCCATGTCAAACACAAATGTTCCCATGCTTCACACCACTCCTCTTCTGTTGTCCATCAATGTCAGTCATTTCACACTCCTATCTAACCCGGAGAATAAAACTGTCCCAGCCATATTCATGCGCTCAACAGATATCTCCCAGAAGCCCTTTCTGTTCTTCCACTAACCGACTCACTAATAACCTTATACCATGCACAGCTCTCTCTCCGGCAGCCCTCATCTTTTGGATTTTCTGTTCTGAATTCCCTTCCTTCATCTCGAAATTGTTAACCTTTCCTTAAATCTAGAATGGCCAATCCTTAAAATCATATGGACAAAGCTTCTAATAAAAATAAAATGCGATTAGGACATGTACTAACATTTTTTCCCAATTTTACCCTCGTCATCACCTGCCCTGTACAAGAGCTCTCACATTTTCTGCAACCCTTCCTTCGTCTTCTCAACAGATGTCCTGCATTCAAATGTGTGGACAAAAAAAAATGCTGACAGGAGGAGAGATCAGAAATATTACCTCATTTATCTGTTACTGCCCTATCACAGGTTGGGGGCAGGAAAGAAACATAGCTGTGTTTCCTAAAGTGACACTAAACTCAGGAGTTAAATCTTAAAAATACATTCAAGTACCTTAAAGGGTTTCTAAACCCTCCGTTTTTTTGCCTATTTCTACTGCTAGCAAGCAGTAGATATATGCAAAAAGTAAAAAAAAAAACCCGCTTTAACAGAGGTTTAAACTTACCTTGTTTTCGCTGCGCGCTCCCGCCCAAGAATCCGAAACTGCTTGGGTGGCCGCAAAGCACCTTGGGGTGGGCGCATGCGCAGTTTGGATTTTTGGCCGGGAGACGAGCAGAGACGCAAGGTAAGTCTATCGACACATGCACCCGCACAGACAACGTGGGACAGGAAGTGCCAGCAAGCAGAGAGAAGTCAGCGCTGGATCGGAGAGCCGCCACACCGCTGAAAACAACAGGAAAGAAGAGGAAGATCGGATTAAGAGACATAATTTAGGGTAAGTGCTAACAAAAATAAAAATGATCCTTTAATGTCACTTTAACTATTAACAAAAATGTATCTTATTTGTGTATCACTCAGCTGTAGATCAACAACGTATCTATCTCTGAATTGGTGCTGACACTGTCCTTCCTTCTGGGGGGTGGCTACTTTTGTTCCCCATGGTCCCTACGCTACCGGACAAAAGTTTTAGAACACTCCCATTTTTCCAGTTTTTACTGAAATGTAAGCAGTTCAAGTCCAGTGAATAACCTGAAATGGTACAAAAAGTAAGCAGTAAACTGCCAGAGGGTGTTACTACGCAGTCTTAAACAATATTTGGGCAGTATTGTACTGCAGGAAGTAGTATACATCACTCTCAAAATGGTGAGAAAAAGCCAAATGAATAAAAGAAGGAAGACAGACCATTATAACCATTAAAAGTGTAGGTCTTTCCTTGAGAGAAATTGCAAAGAAAGCCAAGGTGTCAGCGAATACAGTTTCCTACATCATTAAAAGGCACTTGGACACTGGGGGAAAATCTGACAGGAAGAGGTCTGGCAGACACAAAGCCACAACAGAATCAGTAGACAGGTTTCTGAGAGTCAAGTTTGCGTGACAGGTGGCTGACAGGACAACAGCTTCAAGCACAGCTTTTCGAAGCAAGTCTCAGTTCCAACCATGAAGAGAAGACTTTGAGCTGCGGATTTAACAGGTCGAGTGGCAGTAAGAAAAACAGGCTTATCTGGACTATGAAGCACCACCAGTGGACTACTGTAGACTGGAAGAAGGTCTTATGGACCCATTAATTAAAATCGGAGCTCTGCAGTCCATCAGGCAGGGTTTTTGTACGCTGTCGAGTAGGTGAAAGGATGGTCCCAATGTCAAACATGGAGGATGCGTGGTGGTCTGGGGCACTTTTGCTGAATCCAGAGTTGGCGACTTGCAGAGTGAGTGGCACCTGAACCAAAACTTTTACAGCAGCATTTTGCAGTGCCATGTAATACCCTCTGGTGTACGCCTGGTTGGTCAGGGGTTTATACTACAGCAAGATAATGATCCAAAACATACCTCCGGGCTGTGTAAGAACTATCTTATTAGAAAAGAACAAGACAGTAGGCTTCAAATCATGAAATGGCCAACACAGTCTCCAGACTTAGACCCCATCGAGCTGGTTTGGGATTAACTGGATGATTCAATTTGGATGTCCAATTGTTAATTTGTCCTATGCTTTAATTTTTAGAGAACATTGAGACATTAAACTGCGTAAACTTCAATAAAAACTGGGAAAATGTTCTAAAACTTTTGACCGGTAGTGTATGTGTTTATAAAGTAGCAATCGCTCCAAGCTCTCTCCCGTGATAGGCTACAGTATAAATTAGTAAACTAAACACGAGGTCATCATCTGAGTGATCTTGGAATGGTGACTACTTTACAACACACACACAGGGGCCATGGGGAACAATAGTATCCACCCTCCAGGAGGAAGGACAGTGACAGCACCAATTCAGAGATGATTTGCAGATCTACAGCTGAGTAATGCAGTTTTGTTAATAGTTAAGGAAGAACTCCCGGGCACAAATTTTATTAACTGCTCGGTTTTGCCTAGGGTCAAAAGAAAAAACAAAGTTATACTCACCTGATCCTCAGAGCCAGCAGTGCTCCCTTTTCCTAAGCTGCAGTGTCCTCATGTCCTATACATTGTATTGGATGTGGTGATTCTAGGATCCTTAGACTGCTGCAGTGGAGGGGAAGAGATGCTCCAGGGACTGGTCTGAGGGCCGGTACGCACCATAAACAGTGCATTCCAGAGTGGTCAGGCTCTGGAACGCACTTCGACCGGCTCCCTGCGTTCAGGGATGTGGCAGTGCATTGAAGTCAATGGCACCGCAGCCACGCCCCCAAACATGTGGCACATTAGTGCCTGCGTTCCGGTCCAGTGTGATCTGCAAAAATGCTGCAAGCACTATTTTTGTAGATCGCACTGCCACTACTAAAGTGCCACACATTCTGATGCGGGTGATGGCACTGCGGGAGGGGGTGTGTGGCTGTTGTGCCAGTGACTTCAATGCACCGCCAGAGCCCCTACCACAGGGAGCTGGCCGAGTTGCGATACAGTGCGTTCCAGAGGCTAACCTCTGAAGGAGAACCAGCGGAGTATAACTTTTTTTTACTCTAGTCAAAAAACAAAGTTAACCCTTGCAGTGCTGGGGTAGCCCCAATACAAGGGTTAATAACATTTTTAGCCAGGTACTTGAATGCAGTTAATATCTAACTCCTGAGTTTGTTGTCACTTTAATTGAGCAGAATTAACCATGGGGTCAGGGCTTTACCCCATAGTTCTAAGGGTAACGGGAGGACACAAACTAGCGTCCTCCCGTCACCCTAAGCTCAGTATACGGCGAGATAACAGACGCCGCAGCCAGGACGGATCCGGACATTAATGTCTGGATCCACCCAGCTGCTTGAGTGACAGCTGGCTCTGCCACCTGTGACAGTCTCATTGTCACAGGTCGGCTAGAACTATGAGGCTAAGTGATTTTCACTCGCCTCATAGTTCTCCTTTAAGTTGTGACTTCTGCCTGGTCTAAAGGCTACTGCACATAGGAATAAAGATGGTACATAGGAAGATCTCATTGGTGATAAGTCACATTTGACACAGGAGTGACCCCGCTCTCCTCCTCATCGCTCCTTTGTATGGTTATCATTACCAGTGGTGTCACGCTGCCTCTTATCCCCCCATTTAACGTCTGGATGTACAATGACAATCTTCTGTGCTCCATAGAGGTTGGGCGTCCGAGACACTAAAAGTTCCTCCACATTCTCGTCGTCTTCTTCATCCTCCTCGCCGGAGCTCCAGTCCCCGTTATCCCCCCCATCCCAGTGGCCCGTGGTCCGACCCTTCCTGCATGGTGTGCTGCTCCATAACGTGCGGAGCCCGGGGGTACAAAGCCGTTCACGACTGAGCAACGACACCACGTTATACCGAGAGCTACCGCAGGCCAAATTGACCCTCCGCACAGCGTGACATCCCCTCAGCAGCCGGAGGATAAACATCGCGCACACGCTGCGGAGCCACGTGGTCACGTGATCAGCCTCTGAGCACACGTATTGAGGGGGCGGGGACTGCTGTCATGTGTCAATTCCAGTGAGGGGGGGAAAGGGAGGAGCTTTGTGACTGATAAGAAATATCGCTGTACTTGTCATAGCTCCTAATGTCCCTGATTTGTAGGGACTGTCCCTATATAGAACCAGATTCCTCTGTCCTTCTCTCCTCCATTTCTTCTTCGTGGTTTGGTGTATGGACCTGTATAACAATGTACAATTTAAGTGCTGGAAAAGTGCAGCTTAGACCTTGCATGGGACACTATAACTGTCCTATAGCATGGCCCTGCGAACATGTGACCACTGATTAGTGGTCACATGTTCGCAGGGCTCTTGCTATACCTTTTCAATCCCATCATTTTTCACAGTGACTGTTGACCAACTGCTCTTGGTCTCTTCTCTTTATGGAGAGCAGTGTCATAATCACACTGCTTCTCTGAGGTGCCATGGTAGCTTCCCTACATATCCCATGCCAACACCACATTTTCTGAACTATTCTGTGAGGGCAATTTATAAAAACTGGAGCAGAGAGAATTTGGAGCAGTTGCCCATAGTAACCAATCAGCTTCTCTCTTCAGTTTGTTCCGTTAAGCTTTGAAAATAAAAGATAGAAGCGGTTACTATGGGTAACTGCTCCAGAATTTGTCTGCTCCAGTGTAGATACATCCCCCTCAATGTTTTAAAGGAGAACTATGAGGTGAGTGCTTTTCACTCACCTCATAGTTCTAGCCGACCTGTGACAATGAGACTGTCACAGGTCGGCTCAGTAGATCGGGAAGTGAGCGAACATATACCGGCGTTCTCTCACCTCTCGATCCTGTCACAGCTCTATGCCGTGACAGGGGAGGGGCTGGATTCCCCCCTCCCCGCTCCGATCCGCCAGCGCTGACTGGTGGATCGGACAGGGGAGGGGGCGGGTACAGCTGGCTCTGCCTCTAGGTAGGCAGAGCCAGCTGTCACTCACGCAGCTGGGCGGATCCCGGCATAATTGTCGGGATCCGTTTCAGCTGCGGCGTCTCAGTATACCACGAGCGGTAGCTCGCGGTATACTGTGGCGTCTCAGTATACCGATTGGTTGCTGTTGGGTTATGACGATAATATGATAGATTTGCTGTGTATGGTTGCTGTGGGGTTCTGCCAATCATATAATAGATTTACTGTGATTGGTTGCTCCGGGTTCTGCCGATCATATGATAGATTTACTGTGATTGGATGCTCTGGGTTTCTGCTGATCATATGATAGATTTACTGTGATTGGATGTTCTGGGGTTCTGCTGATCATATGATAGATTTACTGTGATTGGATGCTCTGGGTTTCTGCTGATCATATGATAGATTTACTGTGATTGGATGTTCTGGGGTTCTGTTGATCATATGATAGATTTACTGTGATTGGCATTGTGATCACTTTAATTATCTAATCATGTACAAAGTAAATTGCTCCTCATTAAGTCCATCTGCACACGCGTTGTGTGTTCAAAGTAAACCAAAATGTATTTGACTTCTTTAGTAAATACTAAATACCAATCAGACATTTTTACTTTATGGCTTTGGAAAAAGTAAAGTGAGACTACAGAAGGTTGTGTCTGGATGCTTTCAGGGAAAGTCCTCTACTCATCCTCTCCTGTTTCTTCTGCACTGTTTAATAGAGCATGCTTTCTGCACATCCTTTTCAGAGACCAGCTGCTATTGGCTGAGCACAATCCAGCCAGCATCATTCTGCTGTTTCCACATCCTTGAAGACAAAATAGACTCTGCATGCTTTGTACGCTGCATACATTTCAGCCTTCCCTTGCAGCTTTCAGAAGAAGCCTCCCTTTGCTTGGTGGATTATGTAAGGATGGCTGCTGTCAGTCAATCTCAGCCTCTGCGCCAGCCGTGCCTCTACCATTCACATAGTAAAGGTAGTGTATTGGTCCAGGGCAGCATGCCGTGTACAATGAAGGGATTGCTGTTTGTGGTTATGTGAGTTCTGTCTGTTCATGTCTGAAGAACAAAGCACCAGGCAGGTTATGTTATTATGAGAGAATTGTAGTCACTTTTATGAAGAATATACAATAACCGCATGAGATATAAATAAAACCATCTATGTCATGCTGTGACAGTGTATGTCACCTGTAGGTGATCGCAACAAACATACTTCACATATATTTGTTTGCGCTTTATTTCAATATCATCACATATACCACATGTATGCTTGTCCACATACGTGCCATGTGATGGCCATACTTAGCTTTTCACGGGAACTCACACCCTTTAAACACACTTGACAGATGACTTTGTGCGTTGATAAAGGTTTGGTTCTCATTTGCATTTTCTGCTTGTTTCATAGTGACCGTCAATGTGAAGAAACCTTTGTGGCCAATACACATGAGCTGCAAGCAGGTAGCTCTGGAGATGTTTTCACTGTGTTCACAGCTTGATATTGTCATCCGAGGTGAAGTACAGCAGGTGAGTACTATTTGGTTCAAACTATAAAAAAAACAAAAACATTTGTCTTTTGCCACACAAAACAAGCGTTCACAGATATTTGTAGGGTAATGAGCTTTGTGAAATAGATCCCTCAAAGTATTAAAACATACAAAGTTAATGGCTGTGCTAGGTGCATTAGCCCATAATTAGGGTTCTAAGCTGGCCCATTAGACTCATTATGGGTCAAGGCTAACCCACAAACTTGCAGTGTAAGAAGAAGAGATGTAAAACACAACCAATATGCAGCATTGCTAAGCAAGAAGGATAATATACATATGGATATTCTCATATTTATACATGTAGTGTCTTACAAAAGTATTCAGAACAAATCCTACTCTTTGAACTAGTTTTTAGGCACTGACACTCCAAACATATTTATAAGATTGTATAACATTGTATTATGGTAGAATAGAATGTTAAGCAAAAACATTTAGATATGCAGTTGGCATTTAATTCCCACTCTTTAATATTTTAGTCACCTTTTGTACTTGGTCAGGGTTTTTGGATGATGCTCATACATCTCAAATTTAAAGGTGAACTCTGGGACTTAGAAAAAAACCTGCCCATGCAGTGAGGCCCCTCGGCTCTGCAAGGGTTAACTTCTCATTACGTTTAGGGGTAGAGGATTAGTAGAGGAATAAGAAGTAGTACATATCTTATTCCCCCTCCGGCAGGTTCCCTTCATCTGTACGACTGGCCACGGTCTCAAGCTTGCCGGCTTCACATACAATGCAGGGTTCATAGCCCTGCATTGTATCTGATTGACGCCAAGGGACTGCCCACATCCTGGAGCATCAGGGAGAAGTGGAGAGTTCCAGAGCAATGAGTGAGGTAAGTATGACAGCTTCTTCACCTGCCCCCTAGACATAACAAGAAATGAACCCTTTCAGTGCAGGGGCCCCCCACTACAAGGGTAGATTTTGCCTATCTCCGTAGAGTTAAATATTTCCACAGATTCTCATTTTAATGGAGAATCAGCGATAAAGTAATGTAATTGCATACATTAGGTAAACAAATGCAAAGCCCTAAACAAGTACAGTAAACTCCCCATTATCCGGCATCCACAGAGATTGGTAGAATCCAGATACATGTAGTTTCTGGTTGCTTGAGAATTACTATAAAAAATAGGTCTAACTAATGCCATACCCCATACTATACCATAACATAAAATCTGCATTGACTTAATATTAATACTGAAATGCAGTAATCAAAGCAAATTAAGACAAATAGACACACTTAAGACAAATAGGTACACGATCGTTTCCAGGATAATACATGCCGCAGATCAGCAGAACAGTGAGTACACAGATTTTTTTTCTGGTTAGATGAGAGTTCTGGTTAGTTGAATACCGGATAACAGCGAGTTTACTGTATTTAGATATCCCAATGGTAGTTTTAATTCAGTCATTAGTATGTGAAGCTGCTTCAAACCACAAGAATGCTGCCTAGGTAAGGCCATTGCTTCAAACTATCTGTGCTTACAATGCTTCCACCACACCTTATATTGTGTATCCCTAATTAAAGTGTATGGATTGACTTTTTTTTTTAATTGGATAGAGTACAGAAGGCTTAAAATCTTCTTGCTAGCTCTGTCCCATTGGGGAGATTTTCATTAATTTCCTGTCCCAGAGGCACAGCAGGAAATTGGGGATTATTTATGAAGTAAGGGAAATTTTCCTCTTAAGTAAGATACACACGGGTGAAATTTGCTGTGTTGGTGACCCTATTCCATTGGCAGCAGTCATTACTTAGATAATGATGACTTTTGCCAACGTAAGATGTTGGAAACTCTTTGGCCAAATGGTGTTTACAGCCAACCAGCTGAAAGCACCGTTTAGGTTTTCTGACTGCGGCCGGCGCTGCTGTCAGAATACAAAAGAAACAGTGTTAGATTTGTCCATCCATGCTGCTCAGTGTGGATGGAGGAATCTGTTCTATTTCTTTTGTTCACTCTGCAGGTTGAATGAACAAAAAAGAACCGTGTATATCCAGCATTAGACAGTTGTCATCAAAACAGGTGTACCCATTGAATTATATATTCTCACTTCTTGTTCTGGGAACAACACTAACATTTTGGATCACTTTCTGTCTCGATGACACCAAGGACCAATACCTAGTGGGCACACAGACAGACATAAAAACATGGCAGTGGTTCTAATCCTTCTATATTCTATGCAAAAGGAACAAAAATGTTTTTGCAATACTTACACTTTAGAGCAGGTGCACACCATTTTCTGGACCAGATCTGGAACATAGTGCATTGCTTTTTTGCCACGTTTTTAACGCAATTTTGCTGCGTTTGAATTTTTTTTTGCTTAAAATGGTCTTACATGTGCGTTCCAGTGCATTTTTAATGCATTTTATGCGTTCCAGTGCATTCCAGACCAGACTAAATAGGACAAGCAGTATTTTTCTGGTCTGGAATGGACTGCGCTGGTGGGAACAGAGGCCAGAAATAGCATAGGGATACATTAGGATGCATTTTGAGTCCGGAAACAATCTGGTCTGGTCTGGAGATGATCCGGACAT